GCTCTCAACAGCAGTGGGTAATCGACGGATCGTATACTTGCGTGGCCTCACTGCTGCTTCCGGTAAATGATGGACAGATCGTATCGTAGTCCAAGCGAATACGCGCTACCCTTTCACTACAGTTGGGGAGCAGCAATCTTTTCTCAGACAACTTGACGGACGTCTGAATGATCTTCTCCATGGAACCTTCGGCGTAGGCACGACCTCACCCTACGTTCACAAGATCTCACCCTACGTTCACAAGATCTCACCCTATCTGCACAAGATCTCACCCTATCTGCACAAGATCATCCTACGATCACAAGACCGGAAAACACTACTCAACAATAACACGCCATCGAACATAAAGCTCAAAACTGTTACCCATCAAAACAGCCACCCACGGGAGAAAAAAAGCCGGCGCAACCATCGGGGATGATGAATAAATCTCGCGTTACAGGCTTGAATGAAGGCTTTTCGGATGCCTCCTTGCGCTTCCTCCTCTTGCTGGATCCGGCCTCCCACAACAGACAAGACACAAGAGCAGCCTACCGTACCCAGCTGTACTCAGCCTTCCACAACAGAGCAGTAAAAACCGTACACAGCAGAGGCACCGCAACATCATTGACAGTGATGGGGTCGGGAGGAGGCAAGACAAGAGCAGTGCCCACCAAACAAAGCTGGACTCAGCCTCCCACAAGAGGCAGCACCTGCCAAACACAGCTGTACTCAGCCTCCCACAACAGAGCAGTACCAACCGTACACAGCAGAGGCACCGCAACACCATTGACAGCAGTGACGGGGTAATACCTGACGGCCTTCTGGATGGCCTCCTCGAACGTCCGGCCGATAGACATCACCTCTCCCACGCTGGTCATGGCGCTGCCGAGATTGGTCGACACCTTGGCGAACTTCTTCAGGTCCCACCGCGGCATCTTCACCACGCAGTAGTCCAGGGACGGCTCGAAGCAAGCTGTCGTGGACTGTTTGTTTTTTTTGTACGGCAGTGGTTGGTGGGTGGGTTGGGCGTCAAGTGTTGAAGGGGGTAGAGCACGCCAGGGTTTGGGGGAAGTGGGGAAGAGCTTGCAGGAAGCCCTGTGCGCTTGCACAAATAGTGCTAGATGGGGCGGCGGCGGCTATCCAGGTGTAACTGGGCGACTTTGGAATGAAGAGCTCGACAACGCCATCATGTGTGCCGACGGTCGGCGGCTCCAAGCAAGCCGTCGTGGACTGTTGTTGTTGTGCAGCAGGAGTTGGGAGAGGATCGATATAATCGACAAAAACAAATGATGCTACAGGCACAGCGGCCGACCTGATATGTAGACAAAAAAAGGCTGCTGCAGAAAGGAGCGACCGACCTGATCGACAAAAGAGGGTGCTAAAGACACACATGATGATAAGACAAAAAAATTACGGTGCTGCAGATACAACGACCGACCCGACAGACGAAAAACAGGGTGCTGCAGATACAAAAACGACCGGCATGACAGACAAAAAAAATAGGGTGCCACAGATACAACGACCAAACCCGTGTGTGCGTTCTCCTATTTATTACGGCGACAGTCCCCCCATTTTCCGTGGTGAGACGTGTACCCAACAGACAAAAAACAGGGTGCTGCAGACACAAACGACCGGCATGGCAGACAAAAAAAATAGGGTGCCTCAGACACGACGACCGACCCCACAGACAATAAAGGGCGCTACAGATACAAAGACGGATCTGACAGACAAAAAATAGGTGCTGCAGATACAAAAGACCGGCATGTGATGGTACTGTACCTTGGTGACGCTGTTCCGGATGGAGACGAGGTCGATCCCGAGAGCGAGCTTTGCGGCCACGTAGGCCAGGGGGTAGCCGGTGGCCTTAGAGGCGAGGGCCGACGATCGACTCAGTCGAGCGTTCACCTTACACAAGAAGTAAAAACCGCCGAGACAAAGAAAATAATGGCGAGGATAAGGGGGGGAGGGGGCGTACTCATTTGTTGCTTGCCTTAGTCATTTGACCATTGACCACGCGTCCCTTTCGAGACGGAGCGGGGGGGTAAGACAAGATAACCAAAAACGCATGCCTGAACCAACAGAGATTGAGGGGAAACGCTTGGGGGGGAGGGGAACGGGGGAGCTGAAGACAAAATATTAGTTCACACGAGGCGGGGGCGAGGATGTTTGTCGAACCTCGACGACTAAATTGTTGTAAATTGTTGTAAATCAGTTCGGTTCTCTATTGGTTTGGGCAGCACAGAAAACGCACTGAGAGGCCGTCTGACTGACTGGTGCAATGAATAAACGATTGCATGTACAGCAGTTAACACCCATGGCAAGGCCGTGCGTCGGAAGTCGATCCTCGATTGACACACATTTTAAAAGTAAACCATTCATTGCTTTGGGCAGTACAGTCCTGCACACTGAGGTCAGTCACATGGTGAGGCCGTCTGCCTGGCTCACCTCGATGATGCAGTACTCCTCGCTGTCTGGGTTAAGGGCGTACTGGATGTTGCACTCTCCCACCACGCCCAGGTGCCGCACCACCTGCACTCAAACCAACCAGAACGCCGAATCAAGCACGGCAGCGACAGGCGAGTCGTAGGAAAGCCGTCCGTCAGATTTCAACACTTTTCAATCGCAGTAAATCAATCCACGACACCAACGCTCCAACTTCAGCAACATAGACAAGAACCCCCAACCTCAAGACTCTTGGCCAATGGGCAACGGGAGCGAGCGAAAAACAACCGAGAGCAAACGAACCGTCACCATCACCACCGCAACCAAGAGCATCACCTTCAAGGCAGTCCGACGGAGCTGAAAGTACTCCCTGTTGGAGAGGGTCTGGCTCGGAGCGATGACGATAGAGTCGCCGGTGTGCACGCCTAGGGGGTCGAAATTCTGCAAAGGAGAAAAGGCGCAAAGAAGAAGAGAAAAGGCACAGAAACAAGAACGAGAGGGTTCACGATCAGATCGTCGTGGGTAAAGAAAAGAAGAAAAGAGAAAACTCTGACTAGACGAAAAAAAAAAAGCACCATCGGATAGTGGATGAAGACAGGAAAATAAGATCAGTAAATCACCGTTGTGTTCTACCGCTTTCTCCAAAAAAAGGAACAGAAAAGGAACAGAACGAAAAAGAGCTTTGCGGGGAACTAACGGACGAACTTTGTCAGGGGAATCCAGAGTGGGCGGGTCAAACGGCGCTTAGTTAAGGTGTGTGAATCTAATCTTGCGAAGGCGAGACCTTAACTCCCATAAAATCTAAAATCTACCATGTACCGAGTAACGATTGGGGGATCGCGGTACTTGTAGCACGTACAATACGTGTGTGCGTCAGAGCACGGACGCACCTCCATGTTACAGACGGTGATACAGTTGTCCCTGTTGTCCCTGACCACCTCGTACTCCACCTCCTTCCACCCACGAAGGTCCTGAACACGGCAGACGGGTAGAACGGGGGGGAGGGGGGGGGGGGGGGGGCATGGAAACCCCCCAAAATATTCCAAAAAAAGGAAAACCCCCAAAAAAAAAGGGACCAAACCCGAAATACTGGTTTAAAAAGGGGGGGGAAAAAAGGGGGGGCCATTTAAAAAACCCCCTAAAAAATTAAGGGGCGGGCCCAAAAGGGGCCGCCCCAAACCTCCTCGGGGGGGACCAAAGGCTTAAAAAAGGGGGATTGATTTTTTTTTTATAACCTATTAAAAACCGGAAAAAAATTTCAAAAAATTTTGGATTTTTTTCCTTTCCCTTTTTAAAACCCCCCCCCCCCAAAATTTGAATTTCGTTTTTCTGGGCCAAAAGAAAACC